AAAATTTTCACTTCTTGATTAGAGAATTGTGCCTCGTTATTGCTAATGATAGCGAGGGGTAGGTTGTATATGCAAATGAGATCCATTTGAATGAAATTTTAGATGAAAACAGTAGTTATTCGAGCAAGTAACTTGGTTTTGATCCACTTACAGAAGTAATCAACTGCCCCTAGCATGTATTTCTAATACCCCTTAGAAGAGAGAAAAGGTCTGAGAAAATCAAACCCAACCCCTGACATGAAACGGCCATGGAATGATTATGGGTTGTAAATGGTGAGACGATTGGTGTTGCATCGTTGCATTTTTTTGGCACTACTCAAATTTTCTGGAGAATTCTTCTACATCTCTTAAGAGGTCAATCAGAAGCATGATTGTCGTTGTATCCTGTGGGCCAATGTTTTTATTTGAGAATGGCTCCTGCATTTGCGGGAGTGTGTTTCCCTATGGAACCCTTTGACTTTGCTCTCACGCACACACCTCGGATAAAAAGAAATGGTTGACCTCCAAAATTACTTAACATCCATTATAAGATATTGGGTGGCTTTGAATTTAAAATGGTTTGTGCTGGTAACATCCTTGGAGATATCTCTTGCCCTGAGAAAGTAAATGAAGGGTAGGCCCAACTTTTTGCCCTTTCAATCTCTGCTTCCATTATCTCGGCATCTTTGATCGTCGGGCGTAAGAGCTTATGGGGAGTTCTCCCCCCTAGGAGACTGCATTGGATAGGAGATCCACTATCTAGTTGTCCTTGGAGATATGTTCAATTCTGAAGCGTTTGAATTTCTCTATTTCAACTTTCATTTTTGTGAGATACATCATCAGCATTTCTTCCCTACCCTCAATTCAGCCCTTTATATGTCCGACCACGAGTTAAACTCAAATTTTACCAGGAGATGTCGGGCGCCCATCTCGTAGACGAAACACAACCCAGCTCGTATTCAGCCTGGTTATTGACAGCGTTGAATTCTACTTCCATTGAGTGGTATATGTGATCACCACCTGGACTAGTGAGTGTGAGTCTGAGTGACGCTTGGCTTTGGCTGGACGCTACCTCAATATGAAGGATCAAGGTAGGATCAGGAGTGATCTCACCGGTGCGGTCATTGAGTTTGGTGAAGTCAGTCAGGAAGGCTGTCATGGCATGAGCCTTCATTGTTCTTGGGATGTAGATCAAATTCGCTGAGCTCCATAACCCATGTTAGGAGCAAGTTGTTCGGGCTTAACTAGGACTGCCTTGAGGGGTTTGTCGGATGATATAGTAGACCAGGAATTACTTTCCTTGTTCTTCTCAAATCAGGACAAAGCTTATCACTTTAGGTTTGACTCCCAAGTAGAACAAGTGTTCTTCATTTGACTTTAGACTCTGAAGAAGGAGAGAGAGGTTAGGCAATCCTTCAACTATTAAAAGGCTGACTCGCATCGTTCGACCATATGAAGCATTTGGCCCGTCTGAGGGTTTTGAAGGCAGCACACTTGTTGTCGAGCTATCATGTGAATCGGTTGAGCCCAACAATTCGGTCGGATAACCTTTGTAATTCCTTAACATTGAGGGGGAATTGCGTCCGAAATAAGGCTTGAATCTTCTCGAAACTGGCCTTTATCCCTTCGAGCATTAAAAGATGCCCTAAGTACTTTTCATCTTCACGTCTAACGTGCATTTCAGGGGTTAAATTTCATATTGTATTTTTTTAGAGTTTTGAAAGTTTCTTCTGGGTCTTTTATGTGTTGTTCGAGTATTTTATTTTCGATCAACACATCATCCACGTACAAATCAATGTTTCTTCCTCTCAGTTTGAGAAAAATTACATTCATGAGGCGTTGGCAAGTCGCTCTTGTATTTTTTAGTTTGAAGAGCATTACATCATAAGCAATAAGCCTCTTCTCTCATTATGAAAATTGTCTTTTCTGCATTAGTCGTATGTATCTTTATTCAGTAGTATGACCCGAAAAGATGTCAACAAAACTCATAACCGAGTGTCTAATAGTATAGTCCACAAGCGCGTCGATTTTCTATAAGGAGTAGCTATCATTCGAGTAAGTTGCATCCAAGTCAGTGAAATTAAAGCACATTTTTCACTTGTTCGATTTTTGGACCATGACATGTTGGCGACCCAGTATGGGTATTGGATTTCTCACACATAGCTGACCTGCCGCAACTTTTAAACCTCTTCATGTATTGGATTCGCCAAAGTGATCATAGTCTTACCTCATCTTCTGCTTTATTGGTCGGGCGGATAGATGGATGTTCAATCAGTGACATGTGGCATCGATTGACACTCCCGACATCTCTGCGACTGACCAGGCGATTATGTTTGTGTCTGTGCAGTAGGCCAACTAACTTGTCTCTGTCCAACATCGAAATTCAAACTTAGCAGGAAACTTTTACCCATTTCTTAATCCGTAGAGGAGATCTCTTCGATGATCTCATTGGTCTAAAGTTTGTTTCCTCTTTGGGTATCAAGTTTGAGGATCTCCCGGTGCATGATGTTAACTACACACAGGTAGCACGTGGGTGATTGCTTCAAATCTCTCCGTATGGTGACCACATTCCTCTCAACTGGAAACTTTACTACTACTTGATATATCAATACGACCGTCCAAAAAGTGTTAAGTAAAGGCCGACCAAAAATATCATAATATGTTGTTGGCAAGTCGATTATAATGAAGTCTGTTGTAGTCCAGAACTGCTTACCATCCTCCCATTAGGTAATTGGCAAGGCAAGGGTTTCAAGTGCTTCCTTTAGCCCGAGAAACTGTAGAGCGGTCCAGAGGGGGGTGAGAGATGAGTGGAGCCTATACTCATTTTTTCAAAGACTGGTTTGAAAATAATATTTACGGAGCTCCTAGTGTCAATGAGTATACTCCTAATATGGAAATTGGCAATGAGGATGTTGACAACTATGGCATCATAGTAAGGATTTCCTTTGGCTCACAAGTCTTCCTTGTTGAAGTAGATCAGTGGATATTGTAAGGCGTGTCGCGGGTGAAAAGCTATCGAGCAAACTTTAATCTTATTCTTTTTGAGCTGACTCAGTGGGCAGCCTCACTGTCTCCTCCAAAAATGACAAGAACGACACTCGTGATGTGGACATGCTGAACCCAAGCGGGTGTGTTAAAAGTTCCTTCAACAGACACCTTCCACTGTCCTTGGGTCATTGCCTCGAGTGTAATGAATTATTTGAGCTTTTCGGCTTTGATCAATTGATCAACCCTTTGATCATGTTATGGAAGTGTCAGCATTCTTCTAATTCGTGTTTGTGATCTTTGTGGTATGCATAGTATTTCTTTGGGTCCCAATAATAGCTTGCTGTTTTCATATGTTATTTTTTTTAAAGAAATTTTTGTTCTTGATGGTCAACACTTCCTATGTCATCGAAACACTCAATGAAGTAGTCGAGAAAGTTCGTGGCATGAGAGTGGAAGCCTTCTTTTGTTGCATCAATTCATCCATTGCACGGGATAGTGCGATTGATTTTCGCCGTAATCTCCTTTACCTCTCGGCAGCCCTCCAGGGACGATCGTGATTCATCAAACTGAGCTTTGGCGGGCGGATGAGGATTACACCTTGGCCCCCAACCTTCTTTGTGAGAGCTTCTCTTCAGAGGTATCGATCAGGCACCCATGTCTTAGTGGAAGAGTAATTATACACTTTTGTAGAAAAGTGGTTGTTGGCAAATTCTAACATCTCAGCCAACATCTTAAGTCGTTGTAGGCCTAGTGTGTAGCGGAACAAACATTCCCTAAGTCCTTGTGCAAGGGCGATGTGTGCACAATGGGTTTGAGGTCCCGAACTTTCAGCATTTTCCGCTGAAAAAGAGTTATGAAGGGGCATAAGGGTTTTCCCTACCCTTGGCACGAGAAGGGCCTATGAGTTTCTCTGGGACTTTTGAGCGCTAGCAAACTACATTATAAACATTTTTTTAAAGCCAACAGTAAAGATGATTGCTCCTAATGCTATGTTATTGAACCAATGAAGGGTCGACTCTTGGAGCGATGTGAGGAACAGGTGACATTTGAGTGTGTCACTGGTCCTTAGTAGGCATACTGCCAATTCGAAAGACGCAATATGATTGATCGGGTTTGATTGTCCCTGATAGGGTTTGAATGCTCTAATTTTGAAGCTTTTGAGGGGTTCAGCTTTGGAGATTTCTTTGGAGAAGGTGTTCTCAGGTTGTGCGAGTGGTGGTGCTTTCGTGAGCTCATGTCTGCGATGGTTGAGTGGTACAAAACCCGTGCTATCGGGGTAGTGTGTCATAATCTGAAAGAGGGATCCTTACAACGTTCAAAGCGGATACCCTTTGCAGATGATGGGATGTCATTAGTCGTGGCAGTTGTACCCTTTCTGAGGCAGGTGAGCTTCAGATTGTCTCTATGATTTTCTCTTTGAGTTCGTTGATCTCCTGAGTCATAACTCACAAGTGATGTTCATGTTTTCAGCGGCTTCTCGAGGTTAGGGATCTTCTCCTCCTTTTCTTGTTTGTGACGTGATTTCACACTAACCGCACCTTTTAGGGTGTTAAACCCAGATTTGTTCGTGAATCAAATCCAAAGAATAGAGCGTAAAGGAAAAGATAGAGATGAGACTTAAGAATACAATATTAGTAATGTATCTCTAAGTTTCTCCCAAAAGGTCCCTTTACATTTTATTGTTGCTATATTAGTAGGAAATTGGGCAAATTTTGTGAAATACCGATAATACCCCTGAAGTTTTATGTTGTCAATCAGTCATTGTTAAATGTCCTCGAGATAGTCATAGATATAACTGATTTGTTGCTTAACAAATCTCCATATTCGCCGCTACTAAGTTGGCAAGACAATTGCTCTTGCAAACCATTTATCTTACCTCTCAGCGGACATTTTTGGTTCGATCATTTAATTCATTCAATCCCCACCAATTTGACAGATCCTCGTGCTCGCCGGAGTCGATCCCTTGACACGTGTCTTCGATTTGATCCATTGTATTTAATCACAAATTAATAAAACCACATACACAGCATTACCTTGGTGTCTAACATGATTGCAATGACATTATCCTCAGACCTAGCATTATACTCTCTAACCAAATCAATACTTTTCTGATGTGATTTATGATCTCCATGTGACATATTAAGCCGGGCAACATTCATCCCTTCTTGAGCAAGCTTCCATATCATTTCACGAGAGCTTGTAGAAGGCCCTATTGTGCACACAATCTTTGTTTTTCTTCGAAATTTCGTAGACACCTCCATGTTGCTTTCCTCTTGCTCACCTGGCTGCAAACAATGAGATGCATTCTTCTCCCCAAATTAACGTTAAAATGATGAAATCAGTCAAAAAAAAGAATGAGGAATATGCGATGATTTCACAAATTCCCAAACCAATATTCAAACTTCCCAAAATCAACACAGAAAAAACGTTGGAGAGCTCACCACACTCACCGGCCCATTGACAGAAGCCAATCCAGCCAGCTCGCTTTTCTCCATCGTCCCCTCCGATCTCACCACCATGCCTGCCCGGAATGATGACGACGAACGAGACCACCCTCCAGTCACGGGGAGCGACCGACTTACATGTCGGGAGGAAGCCAAACCAGCGTGGTCCCTTCCCGCCGGCGGCTTTCCCCACAGAATGCTACCAATCTCCGCTGAAGTTGCCATTAATCGATTAGAAAAAACTCCCTGAACATAAGATGAAAGATGGGCAGAGCTAAAAGGAAGAGATTTTATAGAGAAGATTGATGGTTTTAATGGTGCGGGTACTTAGCTGAGCGGTTTCTGTGGGCAGGCGAATAGAAGGACGCAGAACTTGTGGACGGAGGGAGGAGGGGGGAGAGTGCGAGAGATCGAAGCCAGTGGAGCCTTGCGGCTATTTGTTTGGCTGGCATATATAAATAGAAAGAAATTGGTGTTGGCTATTTATTGGAATTTTATTTTTCCTTAAACTCTATGAGAAAATTAGATAATTGAAGTGGTGGCAAAGCTAAGAAAAAAAAATAATTTTTAAAAAAACTATAATTATAATTATAATTATTTAATTTTTTCATAAATGACAACTTTTTTTTTATAGTGACTATACTTTAAACATATTTGATTGTAAAAAGTAGTTTTACATTAGAAAGATTTTTAGAAACTAATGATCAATAAATTCCCCAAATATAGTTGTGATAGTGGTCTAAAATGAGAGAAAATATTATGTATGGTGATCACAAGTTCAGATGACGTCCGTCATGTGATTCATGACAGCGTGATCGCATCTAGATCTTCGTCCAGACGTGCAATCAGTCACGTGTAATAATTTTTCTTGGAACGCACATCGGCAAACAAAATGTTATCCCAAAAAATATTTTTTCTAGTTTTACTACATCTAGAGCTAAAAGTATTTTATGAAAATGTTTTAACAAATGATGGATTTTGGAGGAGTGGGGTCGACAAGACGAGGAAACAAAAGTGCTCTTGGATCGAGATCATAGAAAAAAAAAAAGAGTCCCACAACAAGAAATTGAAAGCCTAAGAGACATGAAAACCTAACAAAGTTTAACCTTTGACATTGCTACTTTGATTACCATTTATTAATTATTAAATTTTGAAAAGAAAAATATTTTAAATAGGGAATTTTAAGTAAAAGAAAGAAATGTAGTTTCTTTCTTAAACCAAAAATAAATAAAGATTAAAAATTCATTTAAACACTTTATCATTTATATCATTTCATATATATGTTTTTTTTCTATTTTCGTTTGAATTTTAATACAATAATATGGAAGTCTATTCATAAGTTTTTTAAAATATTTTTTAAAATTATTTATATTAAAATTCTCAAATACTCCATCGGATAGTATGTATTGATTGTCTTAATCATGGCTAAATTTTTAGACATTCAAGTATACTTATGACATTTGAATTAAATGATCTTAAATTAGTTGAATTCCTCTCATTGACATGCTCTTCTTAATTACATACACACGAGTCAAAATTTTTTGGTCACTTAAACAAAGTTGTCAACTTTTAATTAAACTTGAGTGTTTAATTTATGATAAATTAAACTCCATTAAAAAATTAAAAAAAAAAACTCAAAAGTACTATTTTTTTTGTGGTTGTGCTCATCTTTCCTGAACATTCATTGTACTTTAGGTTTTGCCAGAACCAAAGTTTCAAGAATCTTGCAATTAATGTTGAAAGTTTTAAATTAACATTCTTGCATCCATATCGGCAATTGGTCACTTGAATGAATTTTCAAGCAGCATACAAACAAAAAAAAAAAACTATTATTTTTATTTAAATTAATTTTGATTGGTCAAAATTTTTCCAATAAAAATCTATAAATAATTAACATAATTTTAAAATACATTAGATAAAATCAAAGCTCACAACTATAGCCATCAAGAAATGAGGGATACAAAGTGCATTTAGGGCAGTAGTGTAGTGACGATGTGGTGTTACACCGCTCATTTTTGTATTTGACAAAATTATGTTTTGTCTGTTTCTTCAAAAAGTTGTGATTTGCAACATAACATGTCTGCGCAGTGGCTACTAGAAAGTTGCGGTCTTATTTTAAGACAAAACTTTAATAATCACCGCACCTTTTTGAACAGTTGTTGCTTCTATAGAAAGATGTGGTCTAACTTATTTTTTCTCTTCCTTAAAATTTGATAATTCAAACTTAAATTTTAATAGCTTACTGAAAAGTATAGTAACAATTTAACGAATAAACTCCAAGAGGAATTTGACTTATGGCCTTCTTACATTGGAAATAGTTAAGTTAAAGCTACTGAGACTACCAGCAATTTCTACAAAACTCCACACAATTCTCAAATTACATAAAATATCATCAGTAAATTTAGACAGGCAAATACATGTAGCTGGAACTGTATACAGGAATGAAGATTCTTGCTTGATATGAATGAACCAAGCCATATGGATTTCATGTAGTATATATTAAATGAAAGAGGCTTATCAGGCGCGCAGAAATTATGAAGAAACTCCAAAAGGCAGAAGTGCTGCAGCAACCATTCTTCCTTCTTCATTTAATATATTATATGTGGAAGCTGCATTTCTCTGTCAAACAAATGACAAAAACTACTAATGAATGACAAAGGAAAAAGACAAGCAAAAAAATTTACAAACATACCGCACAATTCTTATGTGTTTACATGTCTATGTTTACATGTCTAACACCCAAAATTTGATATTTACACTTGCAAAATCTTGGTCTAAGACCCATGCATGAAAATATGCAATTTACTTTTAAAAAGATAGCAAAAGGGGTATTTTTGATGTGATGTTCTATAGTTGAGTGGGAGGTAGGGGTGTAAACGATCCGAACACGAACGAACAAAGCTTGTGTTCGTGTTCGGTTCGTTTAAAATTTAGTTTGTTTGAAATAAGCTCGTGTTCGTTTCTTAACGAACGAGCCGAACACGAACCGAACACGAGCTGTTCGCGAACGACGAGCCAGTTTGACATCCCTAATATTAATATATAAAAATAATATTATATATTAATTATATAACTTATATTATATAAATATTCAATATCTATATTAGTATATTACTGCTATAGTATATTAATATATTATTATTATTATTTTATTATATATTATAATTTATAAAATTTAATGTTTTAAAATATAATAAATTTTTTATATATAATTATTTTATATTATTTTATATTTCAAACAATAACGATTCGAACACGAACGAACGCATCACTGTTCATGTTTGGTTCGTTTAACTAACCGAACGAAAAAAATTTGTTCGCGTTTGTCTCGTTTACTTATCGAACGAATCGAACACGAACTCATTGACGAACCGAACACGAACTGTTCGCGAACAACGAGCTTTTTTGACAGCCCTAGTGGGAGGCATGTGAATATGAATGTTTAGGTGTTACATATGTAAAACATAGCTGAAGCTTGCAATTTCTCGATAACTGCAAAACTAAATTTAAATATTTATATAATTTAATTAAAAAAACTGTTTAGGCATAAGAAAATACCGAGTCAATAGCTTCCAGTTTCATGCCTATAGATCGAAGAAATTTTGGAAGCTCTGGATTTACAGGTTCAATATGCCTTCCGCAGCCGAGAATGAGAATCTCTGTATAAAGATTTTAAAAAATATAAATAAATAAATAACAGTTTTTACAGTCCACCACTTATACTGGATAGTTGTGCAAAGAAGAAAAAAAAGACTGCAGAATAAGATAAGCAGCAGAAACTTTATGTATTAATCTGTTTCAAAATGTCCAAATATATTAGATTATTGACAATTACTTATTCACTCCATATATATTAAATTATTGACAATTACTTATTCACCTACCATGCTCTAGGTTGATAAAAGAAGCTTTTCTGGGGCGCAATATTGCGCAGCATATGTGACATAAAATTTTGAAAAATTTACATACATTGCCACTCATTGTTATCTATATACATATCTTACACCTAACCATTCATTTTTACATATATGCCACTTTGGGGGAAAGAACAGCAATTCTTAACTAAAATGTCCAAAAAGACGTGAAAATGGTCAAATTCAGATCAAATACCTGGAACAGGCCTCAGGATCTTGAAAATGGATAAGCTGCACTATGTTCATAAAAATTGAGCATTAGTTCTTTAATGCAACCAACAAATTTTGATACCAACTATTTAATATAAGAATATCACTAAGATGGGTCGAAGAAAAATATAGGGCTAAGAGATTCAGTCTAGATAAAATAACTCTGATTCAAAAACTAAAATGAGTATTTCATACAAGTAATTCTGCTACAAACCTTTCTGCATTGATATCCGAAAATCTTTTCGGTGCCCAGGACATGATTTTGTTCTCAACAATTAGCAAGCTTCCCTCATATTTAATCTTATTAATTGTGAAACCTGTGTCAGAGTACCTAGATAAAGAGTTTATTAATCAAATAGTAATGTGAGCTTCTGCTAAAAGAAACAAAAGATAATGAGATCAAATAATTTGGAGCAACCTCTAAACCAAAGCGTTCAACATTTTTTTTCTCAAAGTGAGTGTTTCAAATACAATCAAAGTAAAAAATGGGATATCAAGCCAAGATATAAAAAAACAAAGCATCATATTCTGCAAAACATCATAAACAATCTAATGTAGTTTTAACCTGCATATTGAACTTCGCTAATTACCAGAGTAAAAGGTCAACAAAATCACATTTAATACCTGAAATTTATTACTTGAATACAATCCAGCAATTTTAGAAGTATCAATTACAGGATAAGTGATATCTTATGTTTATCTTTATCATCACCGTGGCATCAGTGGGCATGCCTTATTCAATTCTTGCAAATTATAAAATACATAAGTAACATCCAATTCCTACTTATTTACATACCCAACACCTAAACTCTACTTATATTAAATTTATACCAACAAAACCTTCAATATCACATAAAAAAAATCACTATTTTAACTTTTAGAAAGTGAAATACACATTTTCATGCATAGGTAAGGCTGCATATGTATGTAAAAATTGAAGTATAGATGCTACATATTTAAATACATAAAATTAAGCGGTATGTATGTATATCTTCCATAATAATAAAATAGGAAGAGTGTATGTACAGTTGTACACTATCATAAGAACTAGATCAGAATGTGTGTCGTTGGGACAATGGCCTCATTATCCTGTGTTATGACCCAAATGAATACTTTAAAGGATTTGCATCTAAGGTTCTTACATGGGTATGAATAGAAATTAGCAATTTGATAATTGAGATATGTTTAATTTAACTGTTTTATTTACGTAGCTTTAAATTCCAGTTTATTCGTAAGACATAGCATGCCTATAATGATGAAAAATGCCAATGAGAAAGGACTTGTTCTCTTAGCATTATGATTCTCTGGTCCAATTTTATTTAATTCGTTAGATACAGTTCATGGATATTTCCAGGGTACAGTAAATGAGCTATCAGGTAATGAAGGTTCCAGTGGCCTGTTGTTTGTGATTTCTCTAGTTCACCTGAGACCACAATCTCCAGGAATGTAATCGTGAGTAGACATTTCTTTGTTACTCGAGTTCACCTGAGATTGCTATTTACAGAGGTTCACTTGATTTTTTGTTTGGATCCATAGACAAATTCTAAAAAATTAATATTTTAAATCAACATATAAAAAAAAATCGCAAATCAATTGAGTTGCCACGTCTCACTTGACCAAGTTGAACCACGTGGCTGAGTCACCATTTGACATGGTAACTCATGCTGACGAGGATTTAAAACTCTAAATCCCCAAATCTTCACCTGATTTCAATCATTCTTCCCAAGCGACGGCCCTTTCTCCCTGTCAGAGAGCAATTCTTTGCTCTCCAATCTCCATCCACTTCCATCGAAACCCACCAGTGGCGTCCAATGGTGCTCGCATCAAAGGCGCCGGACCCTGCACCGAGGCAAGCGTGCCCAGCTCTCCCCTCTCCGGTGCGACATCCAATTGCTCGAGCGATTGTGATAGGCCTAAGGTTCGCTTTATGTTCTTGATTTGTAGTATTCCTTTTGTAGCATAATGTGCACGATTTGGTATATATAAATTATACTATGGACTGTAGTTTGATTCATTTATGTTCTAGAAAGTTTGAGAGCGTTGATGATAATTTTTTGTAGCTTTTATATGCACCTGACTAGTATAAGGATTTTTATGCTTCCTATGATGATAATGTGGTGTCTTAGGTTAACTTGGAGATTTTTAGGCAATCATTAATGTCATTAACAGCGAAAAGACTATGCATATGTCTCATTTTATTGGTTTGATTTTGATCTAAGCACTATTTTTATTCTTAATTTTTTTTTTCCTTCTATTATTGGAATATAATTTTAGTAGTAGTGGCTCAAGTGACAGAAGTGTAACTTTGGGTGATCAAATTATTAAAATAATGTGTAAATGATTTAGATATCTCGGGTCTGTTGTTCAAAGCGATGGTGATATAGATGAGGATGTTAATAGTAGAATTCAAGTTGGTTGGTTGAAGCTGAGGAATGCTTCGAGTTTTTTGTGTGATAGAAAAGTACCGCTTACACTGAAAGGAAAACTTTTTAAGACAGTGGTGAGACCTGCAATGCTCTATAGGGCTGAATGTTGGCATTTAAAAGAGAAGCGTAATATTAAGTTAAGTTTTGTCGAGATGAGAATGATTAGGTGGATGAGTGGCTTTACATTTAGAGAAAAAATGTGAAATGAATATAACCGTGATAGGGTTGGTGCAACTGACGGACAAAATTAGAGAAAGTCGCCTTAGTGGTTTGGTCACATTAAACCTCGACTATCTGATGATCTGATTAGGAGAGTAGATGTTTTAGATTCGATTTATGTTAAGAAAATCAGAGGTAGACCTGGGAAGCTTGGGCTTATTGTATAAAAAATAATCTTAATTGATTAGAACTAAATAAAAATATGACACTAAATAGGACGCAATGGAGAAAAAAGATTCATGTAGCCGACCCCACGTAGTGGGATTAAGGTTTTGTTGTTGTTGTTGTTCTATTATTGGAATGTTGTACCTTTTATAACCTCATTTGTTAAGACACTGATGACATAGGTTTATAAAAAAATTATGCTCTTCATTGTGATATATATTTCTATTTTGATTTCAATGATTTTGTTATTTATTGAAATAGTTGTAATTCATTGTAAAATTTACTAGAAAATTGTATGATTTCTTACTGTCCTTGTTTGACGAACTTGTTTAGACAACTAAAAACTTTTCGTTATATATATATCATATTTTCAACCAATGATTCTTTGATTTTTTATATTAAGTAGTTCGCAGGGAATAGAAAATTTGTGGACCAAATAATTAGAATAATATGTCAATGATTGATTAGAGCTCATTTAATAACCAGATCTATATTCATTCAGTTTAGAAGCTTTATTCTTATATATTGTTCTATGTGGCAGATAATGATGGCCAAAAAACTGCTACATTTTGTACCATGTGATTGATGCTAATAGTCATCTGTCGTTTAGGTCTTTGAGGTTAAGTAGTTGATAATTATGTTGTACTCTTTCTTTATAAGTAGAAGTATTAAGTTAATCCATTCTTATTAAAAAATATTTGTGTCTATCAATAATATTAACTAATGGTAGAATAATAGAGTCATAGTTTTGAAGCTTTATTCTTATATATTGTTATATGTGGCAGATAATGATGGCCAAAAAACTGCTACAATTTGTTTTAAGTGATTGATGCTAATGGTCATTTTTCATTTAGGTCATTAAATGTTAATTAGTTGATAAATATGTTGTACTCTTTCTTTATAAGTAGAAGTATTAAGTTAATTCATTCCTATTAAAAATATTTGTGTCTATCAATAATTTTAACTAATTGTAAGCTCCTTAATTTTTTTCATAAATAGTCTGATCCTTCCATTGTTGAACTATATCATTTTTTCCACATATTCATAAATTCCATTCATATTGACAATATATGTTGCTTGATTTTAGCAGAAGTACGTACAAAATGAGTAAAACTATTGTCTAGTCGATATTATGGTATCACAGAGAATTAATTGTATTTGAAAATGTTACGTCAAATTATATAGAGGGTAGAAGTAGATCAATTTGTGTCCCATCGCATACGATATATCCAGAGTTGAAAAGTTTAATACTTTGAAGCTTGATATATGACTTGTCAAAGTATAATTTGAATGTAGTATGACGTTACCCAGTCAATAATAAATTTATTGTAGCTAATGTCGATGATAATAAGATAATTGAAATTGCTCTAGTAGAAGTTTAAGTTATAGTACTTTGTGTAGCATAAGTTTCAAGTTAGAGTAGAGTACTTTATGTGGAGATTGTCTTGTTTCAGATAGATAATCATAATGTAGATCAAATAATATCAGAACCTTCATCGAACATGTTTATGAAGAACATTTATATTATGGCTATTAAAATAAATTCTAATATACTAATAACACAGTTAATTCACTTGCAGAAATACTTTTACTTACAATTTCTTAATGGTGGGTAGCTCCACACAAAAACTTTGAAGGATCTTGTAATCGGATATAATTACCTCCAATTGTTGAAGAGTATGACATAATGGATAACAATTCAATTGATGAAAATAATGGTACTAACAGCGAGTTGGATGAAGATGAGGTTGGGAGCATGATAATGTAGAATTGCATAGGCATGCACTGATATAAGATAATGCAATTCTTAATAGTAGCATAGCAAATCAAATGATTAATAACAATGAGTATATCCAATAATGTGAAACTGCACAGGAGTGGGATGAGAATGATAGCTTTGATTGTCCGATTGAGCACATAATATCTATTCAAGAAAATTTTATGTTAGGAACTGTCAAAAGATACATTTTTTAAAAAAAAGTGAATCTCAATGTACAATTGGTGGGTTGTCAATGCTTAATAGTATCGAGTATAAAATAGTGAACTAAACCAGACAAACATCGTCTAGAGAGTGCTTGAAAGATTTCTAGCAAAACAACCCAGCATAGTTGCACCCATCCCAATATGATGTCCATACAAAAACAATGTATATATAAATTAGGGTCCGTGCACAGCTTATTGCTGTTTCCGGCATTTTCGGAACGCCGTTGGCTCGTTTGTTTCGGGCGTTGGGTCCGGCGGTGGGATAACGCTCGTAAATTTTTCTTAAGAAAATCCTCGATCGTTTGCCGCTCTCCGAGCCCCGCGTTCCGCGTATAGGGTTAGCTTATTACCCTCAGCCCCTCGATCCCGTCTCCCGATCCCGTCTCCTTTGTCGTTGCCATAACTCTGCGATCAAGAGCTTCTGTGCTCGGTTCTCGATATCGTGCACCCTTCCCCTCCCCCATTTCTCGTTTGTTAGGTTGTGGATCCAGAGGTACCGATTCTTCGCCTCCTCCTCGCATTTTCTTGAAAGTTTTAC